TATGGATCATAAGGGCCTAAAAGGCAGCGAGACTGAGACCACTTTCTGTAATTCAGACATAACCTGCTGTTGCTCTGGCTCCCATTTGAATGCAGTTTTCTTCCCAGTGGTTTTATGGATGGAGGCTAGCGATATTCCCAGATACGGAATATGCGTTCTCCAAAATCTGAATAAACCAACCAAATGTTGGGCCTCCTGCTTAGTCTTGGGGGTAGGTAGTGACAGAAACTTATTCTTGGTTGCCTGCACAATGTCACAGATGGCTCCTGTCCAAGTTATTCCCAAGAACTTCACCATTTGGGCAGGGGCCTGGATTTTTGCTGAATTTATTAACTAGCCTCTGTTGGTCATGTGGGCCACTACTGTATTCAAATAAGCCCTAGCCTGCACCAAATCCAAGTCTTTTCTAACCAAACTGCAACAGTAAGCAGGTAAATTCAAGTAACTCTGTGGCAATCCAGTAAAAGTAAATTGGAATCCTCCAGATGGGAAAGCAAACTACAACTGACTCTTTTCTAAGATTGGGATCAAGAAAAAGGCACTTGCAAGATCAGTCACTTAGTGTCAGTCTCTTTTAGCCTGATGTATCTTCTGCACCGTTGGTACCATGTCTGGAACAGCTGAAGCCACAGTGGCACTACTTTATTTAGGCCTGGATAGTCTACTGTCAGCGTCCATGAGTCATCTGCTTTTTTCATGGGCCATACAGGGCTGTTATACAGAGAATTTGTTGGCACCAACACTCCAGTCTTTAGCATGTCTTTAATCAAAGCAGTAATCTCCTTTTGTTCACCAGGTATCCTACACTGTTTCAAATTAACAACCTGAGTGGGTTCAGGCAATTCTAATGGTTCCCATTTGGCATGTCTAATCAATACCGGCCTAAAGGCAGACTTACATAACTTCAGTTTTACAATATCAGGTAGAGGGAGTGTTCCCCAACTAGACATAATATCCACACCAATAACACATTCAACTAAGGAAGATGCAACTACTTCATACAAGATCTGTTTAAATTTTCCAATTCTCATCCAAACTTTCACCTCAGCCCCATCAACTGTTGCATTCCCATATGCCCCCAGTCTAACTTTAGACCTCTTCAAGATTTTATTGACAGATTTTGGGATTACAGTACATTTGACTCCTGTGTCCAGAAGCCCCAAGAAGGTCTCTTCCCCATCCCTGGGCCATTTCACCCACACATGTGCATATGGCCTTAGGTCCCCTGCTAGGGGGATCAACTAGCTGAGTCTCTGCTTCAAATGATCCTAGGTGGAATCTCCCATCATTAAATTACTCCCAACTAGGGTGAATAGATTAGACTTGTTCAGACCTCTTTAATGTTGGGGGACCAGTAGGATTTTCCGATGGTCCACCCTACCTCCTATAGAGCTGCATTAGAACCTTTGCCTCAACTCCATCAATGTCCAATATAATCATCACGTTTCTTAGTAACCATTTAAAAATCTCCATCCTGCTGGGGCTAAGTTCTTTTCCCATTGCCTCTTCCCATTCTCCTATGAATCTCCCTTATGTTCCTTGCATCTATAAGACCCATATGGGGAAGCTGTGCCAACAGAACCAATAAGGCTTCTCAGATTGTTGCTTTGTTTTGCAGTATCAGGATTACATGGGGTGCCCACGTAGAAGAGACTCCCTTGATGACCATATCTACCATGACCTGTGTAAGGGACATACTCATTGGATGAATATCCTGATCACTATAAAGCCATTCCAGCATGGTTTGCATAAGCAGCACATCGGCTGCTTCCTCTGGAGTGTTCCATTAGAGGAGGAGAGGGACAGCTTTCCTTCTCAGGGTAAACAAATCTTACTGCAAATTTTATCCAGTCCACCAGGCTGGCCGTCCCTCTGGGTTAACTTGCTGTGTAACTAGATCTTGTATCATCATTTGTGACTGATTCATAGTGAGTTGTGGGTCTTGCATCAACCCAAACATACTCTTCCATTCTGCAGCATCAAAACTAAAGACACTGCCCCTAAATTAGTCACTCTAAAAATCCATTTTAGTAATGGTTCCTCAGGAAGCTGATGATACCGATTTACAAATTGAAGCAACTCCTTTACACTATACCCCCTGGTTTCAATAGTTTCTTGGTTTTTCCCGTTCTCCCAGACTATGTTCTTGGTGACTAGTGATCTAGGGGCACTTCCCATTGTTATGACCTGATTTTTCTTTTCCAAGTCAGCCCTGAGGTTGGCCCTAAGACTAGCAGTCAGGGACTATCGGACCAGATCTGGACTTGGTTCAGTGCTAAAATCCGCCCCTACATTCTTTTTCTCTGCCATTGCAGCTATTACTGTTAACACAAACCAAGGAATTGTATGTCTGGCCCTTTCCTTATCACCCTGTATTTCCATATGCATCCAGCTAGCCAATTCCTCAGGAGTTAGATTCACCACTCCTACTCTCCATGAATAGCTTTGCCCTGTGTAACTGATTGACATATAACAGCTGCTTCAATCCATGGGTGTTTTTTATCCCATCCAGAAACCAAGGGTTTCTCATTCTCCCATTTATCCTCTTTTTTCCAAAACCATGTATTCCAGTGAGTCTGGCCTGTTGCAGCGAAACCCACCATTCTGACCCCAACTAAATGAATAATTTCTTTTGTAAGGATCAGCACAAAGCTGGTTCCTATGAGGTAGAGGTTAAAGATGTCCCAAATGTCCAACTTTTCCATATTGCTGTACCACTCCATCATCTTTAACACCAATTACTCCTCCTCCCCTCAGTACTCTCACTTCCGTCTTTGGGTTCCATAATTTACTGCAATGTCTCACAGAACTCATAAACTGTATCAAGGAAATGGCTCAAAATGTTGTGGAGGCTGGTAAGCCTAAATCCACGGGTCAGGCATAGGTCTATCCTCACTCATGTGGCTGCAGGGACTAACGAAGCCAAATTGGCAGGCCAGACAACAGGCTGCTGGCTCACAAGGCTGCGGAAGCTGGTAAATCAGGTCAGACAATAGGATGCTGGCCCATAGGACTGCACAAGCTGGCAAATCCTAGTATCAGCAGGTTAGACAGGCAGGCCACTGGCCCAAGTCCCAAGAACTGGCAGTCAGACAATGATGAACCAGATGCAGGATCCAGATGCAGAGAGAGACAGCCCCACCAGAGCACCCACATATATACATTGGATAAAGGCCACACCCCAGAGAGGGGCATGACTTGAGTAAGGGTGGGACTTGAGTCACACTCTCCTGCAAGGCTGTGACTCAAAGTACACCCCACACTAATCCTGCCTCATTAACATAAAGAAGTTAGGATTTACAACACATAAAATGGAGGATAATTAGAATAATTACATCAGATCACAAAATGGAGGACAGCCACACAATACTGAGAATCACGGCCTAGCCAAGCCAACACCCAACACCGACCACCACACTTTGTTAGGGTTCCATACACCTTATTTGCATGGTCCCACCCGATCATTGCGTGGGAGTCACAAAGACTATGGCTAGAAGGGCCATATTAAGTAATTCACTGTTCCACATGGGTGTTACCAGGCAAGTCCCTTCCCTCTCTGGACCACAGTTTGTTTGTATGTCAAGTGAAAAAAAAACAGTTGAACAGTTGCCATTGAGTCAATTCCAACTCATGGCAACTCCATGTGTGTCATAGTAGAAAGGTGCTCCATAGGATTTTCAATCGCTGATTCTTCAGAAGTAGAAAAATTAAAAAAAAACAAACAGGCCTTTCTTCCGAGGCAGCTCTGGATGGGCTCGAACCACCAACATTTCTGTTCACATCAGAGCATTTTAACTGTTTGCACCACCCAGGGACGTATATTGAGTAGGGTTAATAATTTCTACCCAGCCTGTCTCACAGGATCTGTGGAGCCTCTGAGGTCAGGAAGCCTGGGTTCAAATCCTGACTTCAACCCTTAGTTCTGTGCAAACTTCGGCAAGTTTGGTAATCTCTCTGTGCAATGGTTTCTTCATAAACGGAGGTGATGATTTCATGTTTACCTCACAGGGTCACTATGAGGACTGAAGACATTAACACAGAAAGTGCACAGCACAGAGTGGGGACTCAAGTTCTTAGGCCAGGTCAGGCAACAGGCTGCAGCATCCCACTTGTGTTTCCTCGTTAAATCCTCAATCAACCTTCAGAGGCACATGGCTTCCTCCATTTTACAGATGAAGAAACAGGCTCTGAGCCATCAAGAAGCAAAGTGTTTTTGAAACCTACGCTGGTTTCTAACTAAACACTATACTGCCTTCAACAAGTGGTCATCTTTCAAGAATAAATTATCATTTTAGTATATCGTTACTCTTTTTCTACTCACTAGTACCATGCATGCTTATTTGGGAAGTTCTCAGCATTGCAGAAATATACAATGTGAAATTTGCCCACCATCTCACCATTTGGGGATGAGTGTATAATTTCCAAGACTTTGGAGGATCCATGTTTGAGGATATTTTTTTCTTATCTGGGAATCAGAACATTATATCCTTAAAAATGTTCTAGAAACTATGTCACTTTAACTTAAATTTAGTTTTTAAAGTATCATTTGCCATGAACTGAAGGTAATGCAAAAATGAAACACAAGGACAACAAAACCAAAACACAGGCATTCCCAGGGTTTTGAACGAGATCCGTTCCTAAGTCTGTCTTTAAGTCAAATCTGTAGGTAAGTCGGAACAAGTACATACGGTTCTCATTTAATGTCAGTTAGTCAAATGTTTGTCTTAGTGTGTAGCATGTATTTTACCTTTCAGTACATATAAAACACTTAAGAAACACTTTCAAATACACTAAAACTTCTTAAACTTAATAATACAGTACACAATAATAATACAGTACTATAATAATAAAAGTAACTACATATGGTACTGTACTGAACAGAGAGAATCTCTATGTGCGTATATGGTAGGTGTACAGTACTGTAAAAAACATTAAAGAAACAGTTCTTAAAGCAGTTTAGATAGGGAAAAAAAAGATCATGACTAAAGGTTAACACTTACTCTCGTTCACTGATGTCTTGCATACCAGAAGGGGCATGAGTGAGGTAACATGATGATAACATTGATAACTGGATGATGCAGGAGAAGATGACGGAGAGATGGCTACTGTTGAAGATAATGGACGTGGTGTTAGAGTCAGGGTTTGATTCTGCTGTGGGGGAGTGGGGGAGGTTATTACTGCAGTGAATTTCTTGAAGAAGGCATCAAGGGTGGTTTGTACAGAGCTTTTCTTTTTCTCCTCATAAATGGCCTTGTAGCAGTGGAGGCACTAGGTAACTGTACAGCAAACTATGGTGAACCTCTCTGTATTAGGATCTTGCTCCTCTAACTTTGCCATCCCTGCTTCAATGAGGCAAAAGGCTTCAGCTGACTCTTCCATCAAAAAATTTTCAGGGAGGACTTCCAGCAAAATGGTGCTCTAGGCAGAAGCACCACGCCGTCCCTCCACAGTAAAGATCCGAAAAACTAAGCTGAACAGAGAATACAACAATCCTGAAACCCTAAAACATCAAATGAAGAGATGAAGAACTCAGCCAAGCACCAAATGGAGTGAGAAAACTGACAGAGAATGGAGAGCGAGGAGAGATTCATGCAGAGGTCCCCTACCAGCTAACGTAGTGCGGATCCGCCTTCTTGGGCTCCTATCGGAGCCCAGCAAACAGGGGGTATGAGAAAGCAGCTTCATGGAGCTTCCAGCGGGAGATAAAACAACCGGTAATTTGCAATATACGCTTTCCCACCCCCACCCTTCCTCACCCCCACTCGGCCTCCTATGCTTCCCGCGGCCAGTCTCTTGTCCAGGAAACACCGGCTGTGTGTGATTCCACACACCCGAACGGGCCGGCTCTCTGAGTACCATTTGTTGGCTGCTGGTGTTGCTTTTTTCTGCTTCTTTTGATTTCTTCCTTACCTCTCACCACCTCCCGCTCCTTTCGCTCAAATACCTGACTCCGTGCGCCATCTTTGCTTCTTCCTGAGGGGCTGCAGAGCTCCAGTAATTTGTGATATATGCTTTCCCACTCCCTACCGTTCTTCACCCACACTCGGCCTCCTCTGCTTCCCGCGGACACAGTCTCTTGTCTGAGAAACACCGGCTGCTTGGATTCCACCAGCCCGCACTAGCTGGCTCTCTGAGTCCCATTTGTTGGCTGCTGGTGTTGCTTTTTTTCCTGCTTCTTTTGATTTCTTCCTTACCTCTCACCACCTCCCCCTCCTTTCGCTCAAATACCTGGCTCTGTGCACCATCTTTGCTTCTTCCTGAGGGGCTGTGGAGCTCCGTTCGAGTGTGGAGCTGCTTCCCGGTCTGGGCTGCCGTGCTGGTGGGATACTGGAGCTTTTGTTCGTTTGTTTGTTTGTTTTCTTTTCCTTTTCTTGAATACCAGAAGGGGCATGCGTGCCTTTTCTGGCCAGGCAGTGCTGCGTGGCAAGGAGACTAGCCCCTCAGCTTGCACAGACGTGCAGAGGGATCCCTGAGAGCATTTCTTTTTACAGTTTTTTGTTTTTTTTCCTGTTTTTTGGGGGGTTTTTCTTGTTATCATTTTTTTTTTAATTTGTTTTGTCTTCTTTTCCCTTTTTTCCCCTTTTTGTCTTTCTTCATTACTCAGTTTCTCATCTCTCTATATCTTCTGTTTCTGTTCCCTGCATACCTGGCATTGTATACCTCTGTGCCTTCTAGCCAGGCTGTACTGCAACACCTGAGAGCGACTTTCCCAGACCTCATAGCTGCACTGATGGGATCCCTGGGAACTTTGTGGTTCTTTAACCTTTCTGATTTTTATTTATTCATTCTTTTCTTTTCTTCCTCTTCCCCTTTCTGTTTTTCTCCATTTCATAGTCTCTCAACTCTCCACTCCAATGGCAAGCTCCCCTAGAATTCTTTTTTTTT